TCTGAAATGAGGAACTGTTTTATGTGGACACCTTTCTTTCTCCAAGTGGATGTCTTGCATCCATGTGCTCCTGGGGAGGTCTTGGATAGTTCAGTGTAGGCCTATAAGCTGTACATGTATATATCTATGCCAGCACTTACAGTATGTACTACATATGTACCTATACTTTTGCTTGACAACCAATGTAATGCACAGACTAGATTAGATGTCTCGAGACAAGAGCTGAATTTATGGATGTTGTTAAAAAACGAAAGTACAGTTTCACGTGAGAACAGCAGAAAAACATGATATTACACTCTCTGCTATGAATAGTGTAGAGTCAGTGCAGTAGTGTGTGAGGATTGTGGACAAAGAAGCGGCTGGTCGTACGTAGTACTATATAGGTAGTTAGTTGCTTCGAGTCATGCCTCTCAGAGGGTTTTGGAGCTGTATGTTTAGCTGGGTGAAGGTAAAAGACCGTTTGTACGTATATACCTCTGTAGGGTTAACTGCCTTTTTCCCCTGTGATGACAGTGGTAATGTCTCTATATTCGTTTCGTTGACAATTTTTGGCGAGCGAAAGCGAGCTAACCTAGTGGTCCAAACGGCGCGATTTTTCTATATATTATATATATATATATATATATGTCACCGTACGTCGTCCAACTGCGCATGCTCCAGCATTACGCGCTTCTTTTTATCCGAAAGGGATTTCAACATTTTCATAATGCTGCCTGAATCGAGCGGAATCAGGGGAAACGCAACACCTCCGAAGCTATCGAGTATTGCTGCACAGTCCAGCGAGAGATTTTTCTACATTGCCACTTGTTCCCTATTCCTGCAAGACCAATCAGATTGCCGGATTATGCCTGATTCGCGCTGTCGTCTGACTGTTTTTGACTCGACTCGAATTGTCTACTGCGCTCGGGTCGTTTCGGCCTACTTGGTCCTGTGCAATGTATCTCACTGTTTTGTGCACACACAAGAGTGACTCATACGATTAGACCCCAATTGTAAGCGCGCTTCCGCTCGCCAAAAATGCCATGCATTCGCCTACTAGTACACAACACTGTGTGCTGTATATTGAACTGTGTACATTTGCGCCTGCTGTTACCATGTCGTGTACTGTATGTACTGTAGATGGTCTATTATAAGACTATGTGTATATTCTACAGGGGGGTAGTCGGCCGGTTGCTAGCAGTATGGACGACAGTGACGATGAATTTGATCAGATTGTCACTCCGGACAATGAACTGGACAAGGTGGGTCATTGGACATATATATACATGTAATGTCTATAAAAAGTTACTGTTTCCTTGAACCTGATTCAATATACAACGTATAAACAATCCATAGTTATACTAGAAGTAATATACACGTAACTATATTCTCCTTCAGTGCATGCTGCCCCTTCACAAACATACAGTCCTCTACCTGCTTGCCAACCCTGTTCCGTCCATTACACAGGCCTACCAGTGCTACCAAGAGGTGAAGTACATCTCGGCAATGACCGACGAGTTTGGCGTGGACGACGAACTCCGCTCCAACGAGGAGCTATACAGTGGGACGTTTGAGAGGTTGATGGGCATCGGGTGCTCCGTGTCGGCCGAGGAGGAGCAGACCGAGTCTGCAGCTCTGTTTGAAGCTGCCTGTGCTGAGAAGATACAGCAGTTTGATGACTCTGAGAGTGACGAAGAGGTGTGTGTGTAGTGGGTACTGAGCACTGTACCCTCTATTTTCACGATGGATTTCATGCACTGATAATCATATAATACCAATTTCATGGGTATATTACCCAGTAGTGAGGGGGAGGTAGAGAGAGAAAGTAGGAGGGAGAAAGTACGACAGAGGGAGAGGGAGGCATAGACAAAGCAGCAGGACGGTGGAAGGAGAAGGTTAAAGAGGGAATTATAACTAGCACAGTTGTATACTGTAGCTCACATACTTTATTGCATGTGTAGGTATGTATGTATGTAGGTATAATATACACAATAATCATACAGCTGTCTAACTTCTTTCTACAGGAGTCCAGCACATGGGCAGACAGGGAAGTCACATTTACCTCTCCAATGGATAGACAAAGGTATTAATGCACGCGATGACATGCAACCTGTTATATACGTATATAGAAATCAGCAGTACACTGTGTTGCTTTATGATAAAAAGCATTTGGGTTTGGTCGTTTTCTGTAAGGCACAGTGCATGCAGAGCAGCTACTGTACAAGCCAGTAAGAGTGTGGAGTCTTTGAAAGGGGCAACCTCCCGAGAGAGAGAGTGTGGCGACACTTCCGACAACATCTGCTGCTTGGTTTTTACCCTCGGCGCGCATGCGCAGCGAGGGTACAGTAGTTGGGTCTGTCTGTTTGTCTGTTTTTTTGTCTGTTACTCTACATCTCACTCCTCGAACGTCTGTTCGTCCCAGAAACGATACCATCTACCCAACGGGCGACGAAGGTCAGAAAATAAAGCCGGTTTTCTCTGAAAATGCTCCGTTGCAAAGCTAGAGCGCGAAAAAGCCAATATGCAAATACACAACGGCTTACCACAGTCGGATCGATCCGCGTGATCTGCGTACTTCGGAGGCACCAGAAGATGCAACGCAGGGCGTGTATCGCCTCTCGCATGCTATCTAGTAGTGTAGTTAGCCCGCGTCAGACTCTGCGCGAGCTGGCAAGAGACCACGAGTAACAGCTAAAACTAAACCCAGCCCATCAATTAGTGATACGGCGCATGCGTTTACTTACGCGTGCGCGTCACAGTGCGCCGAGGGTTTGCACTTCAGTGCTTTTCATTTACTTTGGTAACAGGGGTTACTAACCTCGCAGTCTCCGAGGTCAGCGTGGAGACCCTCTCTGAAGGAAGGTTGCAGGTTGATAGCCATATACACGCCGTAGTGTAGTTCACCCGTCAGTTTGTGGGGGAAATGCTTCTGTGCTATATATACTTTCGGTGAAGGGTGACCTTTTTCAGGGGATGGTGTTGAGAGTATTTTCAATCTTGCTATGCTCACTATCTCTACATTGTATCCACACTCACAACCTGCAGCAGTATGAGCAGCGACGAGGACGAAGGCACCAACAGACAGAGGGAGTTTCAGACCAGTTTCGAGGAGGAGGCGAGCAAGTCTCCCCAGCAGAACAGGCTCGGTGCCACCGCCACTCCTGCTGTCCTCTCCCAGATCACAGGGAAGGCCGGCGACGATAGTAACATGATGGACATCAGCAGCCCGTACAGCGACTGTGAGTCTAAAGTGAACGTCGACTCTGTGGAAGTCGGCTAGAGTGCAGAGTGTCATGTGTTTGAAGCCCACCTTGTGCAACTCTCTTTTTCCATGGATGAAGAGAGTTGTCAATGGTTACCTTGAGATCTCGTTGACACATGACATACACGTACAGTATCACACTCTGTGTCTGTGTGCCGGTATAAGAAAACTATGAGGAAAATCTGAAACAGATTTTGTTTCCAAATCCGCACGTTGTTCTTGTGACCGAGAACCACTGTGACATGCAGTATTGTTCACGTGATTTTATTCACGCACATTTGGCAGATGCCCAATATCGAAATTCATGTTCATTCGCTACATACATCTCAAATGTATAGCATGATGCAGGACAACCTGTGTCATCCCTATCTACTAAGTACGGTAGTACTTAGTGATGCATAACCCAGCTGTATCATAAAACACAAGTGCTTTTATCAAAACATGCGTAGTTCATATTATGTACAATCTGTATTACTTGTTGCCCGGTGTGTGTGTGTGTGTGTGTGGTGTGTGTGTGTGGTATTCAGTGGCGTCGTGGCAGAGCCCGGACGACCTCTCAGGAGTGACCCCCATGGACACAGGGCGGGGAGAGTGGACAACAGTCAGCGAGAGCCGTACAGACACCACCCCTAGTCCTCCACAGGGCAACTGGGCCGACTTCTCCTCCTTCCCCACCCACAACAACCAGAGCCCTCAGTGAGTCGACAGGGTCTTCTACCACAATACTGCAGAACATTATTGTACATGGTGGCTATAATATGTACATGTAGGTGGTGGCCACTTATTGTGTCTACATAGGTTAGATGTTGAGTCCAAGAAACTATGCGCATTAGAGAGCGGCGGGGGCCCTGAGTGCAGCGAGGACTCTACTAAGGGCCACCAAGGCGCTCTAATGCGCGTAGTTTCCATGGACGAGGCGTCTAGAGCTATGGCAACGCGTCCGCGCAATTCAAATTCGGTGCAGCTGAAACAGCTAGCGAGCGCAGCTGTCTCGCTGGGAAGTCGAGCGAGAGGCAAAGGGAGGACGTCGTCGACCGGCACCTTCTCAGACTGCAGGAGACTCCGCCCAAAGAACGTGTACCCCTGCGCATGCACGAAATTTAGAGTCCGGACTCTATACTCGAATTAGAGTCCGCACAAGGACCAACCAGATTGCGCAATTTAAATTACTTAGCTCTAAAGATGTGTGGCATACTGGGTATGTGAGGTACACTTTAATGTTGCCGGACGTTTTCTCAGTGTTTTTAGCGACTTGTGTACATTTTGTGTATAATAGTTTGCACAGTAGTTAGTTTCCATGGACGAGGCGTCTAGCGCTATGGCAACGCGTATAATAGTTTGCACAGTAGTTAGTTTCCATGGACGAGGCGTCTAGCGCTATGGCAACGCGTATAATAGTTTGCACAGTAGTTAGTTTCCATGGACGAGGCGTCTAGCGCTATGGCAACGCGTATAATAGTTTGCACAGTAGTTAGTTTTCCATAGACGAGGCGTCTAGCGCTATGGCACGCGTATAATAGTTTGCACAGTAGTTAGTTTCCATGACGAGGCGTCTAGCGCTATGGCAACGCGTATAATAGTTTGCACACAGTGTAGTTCGTCAAGTGGAACGTGTTGTAGCTTGCTTGTCTGAATACTTTGTCATCCAAAGCGTGAATACAATTTAATGTCCCAAGTACATATATGCACAACCACATGTAGTATGCAATAATTTGCAGCAAAACACTATTAATTCTGCACTAGGATGAGTGAAACAATACATCTTAAACAGTTAACACACCTGAATTTCCACTCTACAAGTTGTACCATGTCAAATGTTGGTTAATCTGTATTTGTTTGTTTTTATCAATCTGCAGAGCTCAGAAAGGATTAGAGAACTCATCGGTACACGGAGCAGTGGCAGGAGCTGGAGCAGGCAGTCCTGGGGGAGACTCAGACAACGTCCTCTCTCCTCCAAGACACGACACGTCTCAGTACAGGTCTGCAGGCGTCTGTTGTAAACTAGTTTGTAACAAACAACCGCCCGGGCCTCATTTCGTGTCAGAGTTACAGCCTTCCTTCTTATTGTATGTACGTGTAGATTATGTAAGCTAAATTGCCTCCATTACCTAGTCAATTTGTTGTTGTTTACAAGCATGCATTGTTGTTTTAATCCTGGATATACTGTAGTGTGTGCTCACAGTTTCTCTTTGCCCTTGTGAGAGATTCGGTAGCGGGAGTGGTCGAGAGAGAGAAGGCTTTCGTGTACACTCATCAGAGCTGTTTGCAAAACTTGGGTGGAAATTATTGTACAGCCTATTAACTAGTTTAGCAATTATAGCATTGAATTAGTATCCGCGAAATGCATAGTCTGTGAAGTTTTCACTCTTGGAGTGTTTTCCCCTTTACGGTGTGTGTTTGCCTCCTTGTGTCGGATGTGTGATGCAGTGTGATAGAAGAGAGTCCAGGAGTGGCTGGTAAGGACAGGGTCAGGAGGTGGAGTGGTGGACATGGAGAGCGTGGAGCTGACTGTCATGGACGACATTCACATCCCCAGACTCACCACAGGTAGTGAGACGGGCCGCTGAGGACAATGCCAACAACAGCAACTCTAGTGACGAGGATGACAGCTCGGGCTCCGAAGAGGACAGGTACGTACTGTACAACTTCCTTGGAGTTACCCTGGGTCATTAAAAAGTTCCCGTTCCGTTTCTCGAATCCGTTCCGTGCGTCCCAAAGAAAACGGTAATCCAATTCCTGCAACGTCGTGCCCACTTTTCAGGAACTGTGTGAGGAAGGAAAAAACTAGCTGTGTATATACTCGCCCGCTTATGCTTCCGTTTTAACCACATGTAATTACCCCATAAAGAGCATCCTCTGTATTTCTACTTCTCCTAGACTAAGATGTATGCAAGTGAACACCCCAATTGAGAAACTGAATAAGTCCATTGAACAAACGCCACTCTTAGCATAATGCGCTATGCGCAGGTAGGCATAATAAAGGAAACAAAATACATCAAACACTTGTCTGCTCTGAAACAGGAGAGCTGTTACTACTTTCTGTAGTGTATGTTGGAGATGATCACATCGTAGAAGCTCCTGACTCCCTTGGAATGAACCTGTACGCGATCTTTTTCAGGTCATCGACTTTCGGAGCACTGATTGGCAATGGCACTGTGTACGCTGGCTCCGTTGGAAATGCTATTTCCCCTGCCTTCTTTTTCTCTAGGGGAAATTTGTGCCATTCTATTTCTGGCGATGACGAGTATAGTATCCACACTTCCTCCTTGTGGTCAGATGAGTATTCAAAGAGCATCCCTTCTCTGATCTTCATTTTGTCGCCTTTGTGGATGATATTCTTCTTTAGGAAGGAGGAGAAGTGGGTTTGATAGTCGAAAATCATACTCCGCAACACAGGAACCGCAGTGAACGGCTGCTTCTTCTTTGCCGAGCGAATAATATCGTGCCAGTGGTCTGGAATTATAGACACGCTCCACCTTGTGTTTTTTGGTTTCTGTTAATGTGTGGGCCCACCGTTTACACCAATGCCACACCTAACAACCCTCATTATATAATGGGGTTGGTTTGGAGGTATCGTGCAAGGGTCAGCGGCACTAGCATTGCAAATTAGCGGGGGCAACTACATTGCATGGCTCGTTCCCCATAATTATGGGGGCGCTGCTCTATCACTTATCATAATGCTAACAGGCTGATCGCAGTAAGCCCGCATAATGCCAGGCTAAACAATATTGCCCCTTGCCCCAAGCACAACCCCCTACTTAACTTTGGTTTCACCTTATTAGCATGGGACTTACAGCCATTGGCTGACCTATCACCCATAAAAGCTGGTACACCAGCTTGTCCCATGCATCATACACCTCCGAGACCCCTCTTCATACCTCCAACGAGGAAAGAAAACCAATAATACAACTGAGAGATGCACTACGACATTAATTTTCAATATCCCCTAGCCAGAGTCCGAGAGACTGCGGCAAGCTGTTCTCGGGGAAGTTTAATATATATCTTATACGCCTCGCTCCGCCACCTGCCGAGGGTATGAATAAGGGAGTCTTGCAAGCCCTGCTGGGCCGCCGTGGTGGCCGTTGTAATCTACCTTCAATGATCTCAGTGCAACCTTCGGCTCTGACACCAGGAAAGTTCGTGTGAGAGGAACCCCAGAACTCCGCTTCTTGTGCACTAATAGAAAAGAAAATGAGGCACACGCTGGCCTCGCACAACTGAGGAACACGCTGTCCTCGCTGCCCTGCCACCTGCCGGTGACGGTAACTCAGCACTGGGAACTGCCTGCGTGCTGCTGTTGCTTCCCAGTTCGCACGCGGTTGCGGTATGCACATGCGCAGTTGCGAGTCGCTGAGGAGGCGCCACCGTGGGCGGAGGTGGGGCGCCCCACCTCCCCCAGCCTAGCAACGGTATGTCCCCCCATTAACTTCGTCTAATTGTCATTAAACGCCATTTCTGGCGAAGTCTCAGTCGCACGGTAAGAAGGAGTGACATCGCACTGGAAAAAAGTGGCGAATGAGCTTGAACCTTCCCAATCTCATTAACGAAAAGAGATAGTGGATTACAATAGAATTTTCGTTTTGCCCTGGACTCGAATCAGAAAAGAGCATCAAGGAGTCAACATTGCGTAATGTA